ACTGTACTTATATTGTAAACAAACATTGAATAATTTTTGTTATTTATTAAAGTATTGTACTTCATCTTAGCCTAGTGTGCTGCAAACTTCCACTATCATGTCACACCAATATTCATCTAAATTTGTATCAAGATTCTACTTTTAAATGCGACGAAGGCACAGTAATCATGCACTTTGTATGCTGGTGAATTTTATATTGCTACGTTCGTATTAAATAATATTGTTCAAAATGCTAAGCCCTCCGTGCATATCTTCTTTTAAAAGCTGATTATTATTTCTGTAAACAGATAGATTTCAGAATCCTTGGGGGACATAATCACAGGTGTAAAGTTTGTAATGTTAAGGATGGGAATGAAAATTATTATATTGAACACAGGTGGAGCATAACATGAAACTATGATTAATGAGAGCGAAATCGTGGGAGTGTGAATGGAAGAGTCTGATACTGCGCTCGGCTGTCCTTTAAACAATTATGAGAGCGTGCCACTGACCAAAAATATACTGCCAAACATTCGTACAATGTGCAAAGGCAAAGTAAATAATAATGCATGATTTATATATGTTGCTATTCCATCACGCGATAGCAACGAGGAAGTGAAGCACTACAATATAAAGCTGAATTGGCAAAGCACTTGAATTGTCAAAGAAAACGACGTCACCTTTTTCCGGTGTCAATTTCAATTTTTACTTGTAATTCACACTCGACTTATACTGTGGCAGTGACACACTATAAGAGTATGGTTGCTGTCATGACAGTTGAATGTCAATTCTCACCTACTGTACAAGATGAAAAAATAATTTGTTTAAAATTTTCATGATAATTTTGCACGTATGATACGGGTTACTGTGAAACGAGAATGCAGCTCATTAAATGAACTGCACGCTTGCTTACCTCGGACACTAAATAATAAAATGTCTAAAGATACCCGGCGCGGTTCTCGGGCTGGGAACTCAAAAAGGCTGCAATCATTCATTATAATGCACGCAGGTGTAATGCCAGCTAATTTAGTTGTGAAATATGAGAGCCGATCTACACAAAGAAGAGTTACAAAAAAAACCAGAAAGATGTGAACTGGATCGGCAGAGCACTGTTGTGGTTAAAGCTTACAGATAACTAAAACTCGATGTGATACGACACCATTTGTACAAGGTCTCACACGTAAAAAATATATATCTGAGCATACTAACAGGCAAGCAAAGAAACCATATTTGCAAACAACTCATTTTTGGTTATGTGCCTATGTCACCATTGGTGGATGTCGTGTGCAAGGCCTGCAAATTGGAATATGTTATCAAGTGCTATAAATAATAGCCCTACAAATTGTTTGCCTTCGAAAGCACTATATTTCCCGCACCCCCGATTTGCACGATTGGCTACGCACGGTGCAAAAGAAGTTCAAGATACATATTTGGACAAACTGCTTAAAAAAATAATTCGCTACCAATGGATTGCAGTGCATTTAAAAATACATCCATCGAGTAGATAGTGAAATAAAATTATCATGTGTATAGGTTCTATGTGGCTTGGGGAAGCGTTCAGCCAGCAGTGGAATGATCATGGATGATGGTAATCCACTGCTAGATGAAGGCGTCCTCATGCCACTGGAGATGTGGGAGTTTGTTGACGAAACAATACGGGGTGGGGGGGGGGGGATTTCTTCTGATATCAGTCGCCACTGATGTTGGCCATGGCTGGGAATTAAACTCAAGTCGTCGGGTAAATGGCGCAGTACACCAACCACTGTGTCACCACTTCCGATTAGCACGGTTGGTTACGTAAAGTAAGAAAGAAGTCCAAAATAAATACATATGTGCACTTCCAACAACGAGTGTCAAAAAATGTTTCGTGTACGTGAGAATTGTTACATCACAAATATCGCGACAGATGGCAGCAGCTTGAGAAGGTCTCCATCCAACTCTGGATAGACCATGGCTTATAATCATGATCCATGTTTTTTTACATATATAAAGGACGGATGATTTGGTGCAAGAAGGAGGCAATAAGAGTCATATGTGCGGCTTCAAATACATTTTCCTTTATCCTTATGAAATAAACTACAAACTGAACAGTGACCGTAGAGTTTTCAAAGTTACATTTTATGCAATTCTGAACTAAGCAAAGATTAATTTACAACAAAAAAACCCTGCCATTTTAATGGCATGAGAGGTAACGAGTAACAAAAGCTGAATGTTTAAATAGACAGCATCATAATGGAGATGTTGAAATAAAGACAAGGTAGATTATACAGTGTCTGCATCTGACAAGGGGTAATGAGACCAAAATGGATGTGATTTCATGCTTTAAAGAATAGCAAGTGGGTTAATATTACAGAGAGGATAATGATGCCGATCAAGTGTTAGATATATGTACGTTATAAAGTACCAGTGCAACTAAGTTACAACAAATATGAAGAGGAATTATGATTTTAATACCATGCTTATAAAGATAACACCTTATTCTTTTGACCAAATTGTGCGTTTTAATGGTATATCCATTGCTATTCATATTATACGCAATGGACCATTAACCAAGAGACAGAGTCCACGGTTTGTGTAAAAGGTCTTAGTTATACATTTAATTCATCATACATACTTTAATGAGGTTGTATTGTGTAGGCCACTATATACGTGTGTGTGTGTGTGTGCATGATAGTGGAGCGGTTAGCATACTGTGCTACGAACCCGGTGACCCGAGTTCTATTCTCGCTCACGGCCAACGTCAGTGATGATTATCTGAACCGGTCCTGGGCCTCCTCTAGGTCGAATCAGTCTAAAATGACTACCTGGTGTGGTGCGTAAATATCGCCACGAAGGAGACAAAGGCGGCCAGGCGTGGTGCTGGCCACCCACCCCCTCATGTGCCGTGCTGGCCCTCATTGCTACTCGCTAACAGGACTTTCCCCAAAAGTCTGTTAAGGTTATACGGGGTGATCTTTTGTCTTTTAGACATTATATCACAGTAATGTGTATTTGTAAACAATACTGTCCTGTGCATTATATCCCCATTTGGTTATAATGTACCTGACAAAGGTCACGCAAATAGATGTCAATCAAGCACAAGGCACTGAATTAACAAGTGGCCCATTCACTAATTAACGTGATCATTGACCAGTCGTTCAATAAATTGGTCCCGACCGATGCGGTGAACTTTGGTCAAACAACCCGCATGAGTGATGGGGTTTGGGGAGGTCTTCATCCAGCAGGGGTCTGAAAAAGTGCTAGTAAGTTATTGCTACATTATTGCGATTGACCAACATACATTGTATTTATACTGTCATCTCAAACTGCCCAAGCATGCCAAACTTCAATTAATGTTAAACCATTTACGACCTCGGTGGTGGAGGAAAGATGATGTTGATGCAATGAGGAGACAATAAGAGTGACACGTGCAGATCTGAATCGTGTGTTTACATGATATTAATCGTGAGATTTCCAAAAATCTGTGAAATTGCATTCAGTTTGAGAAAACGAATCAATGCCCATTTATCAACGTAAAATCAACAACGGGTTTCGAATAAAAACGTGGCTTCAATTGGAAAAATGTATTAATATTCGTGCAAAAAATAAGATAAAAACCATACATCCAAATGCACTGTCTCTCAAATACACGCAAGTGAATTGTTTGAAAGGGGATGCACGGGGGGCCTCTTCGGCCACATGCGCACGGTGGGTAACAAAGGGCCCTTTTTGGAGTGGTAGATTAGCATGCACACAGCCTCATGTTTACATTCACGATCCATATTTTTATGTAATTTATATCTCCGCGGCAAAGCAGTGCAATGCGACTCACATTCACAAGCTTTTATGCCAGCCGAGACCCAGCGTCAAACAAAAAAAACCAAACCTCGAACTATCCCTGTGGTTATAAAATAAAATATTTGTGAAATTATACAGAACCGTGACGTGCATACCTCACAAAGAGTAAACTAAATGTATGGGATTCGATGTCGATTTTTATTTATTTAATTAACGTAAAATCATTACAGTATCTGCTTGAGCTCTCTGCTGGGGAACGTATACATTTAGATCGATATTTAATGAAGCCATTATGGTCATACATACAGTACACTGTATGTCTGACTTTGCATAATATCAAATTCAATATATTTATGCGTAGGCAATTTAGTTACGTAAAAGAATTAGATTGAAGGCACCAAATGTCAACAACAATTTAAAGAACTTGGTGACATCTGTGAACTTTCTCCTGCGCAGCAGGAATTAACATTGTAAAAAATATATAATTGAACATTATCCATTAACTCAATGTATACGTGACATGCCCACATAGCAAATACATGTGTTTTAGGTTTCATAATTACAGACACTACATTTGTATAACTGTTACTACGTTCTGACATCTTCCGTAGTAATTTCGTTCATTTATCAGTGAGCTGCAGTTCAGATATGAATATGAATATATCTGAACCATATGAATATATCTGAACCATTTTTTTGATAAATTCAACAGTGTGTACTGAATTCCAAAACAGCCTTTCCAAGATTTGATGTATCCACGTTTTACAAATAATTGCGTACGGCATTTAATCTGCCATACTATTTTTGAAAAAATATAAATCCAACAAAAGATTAATTTCCCAAGATAATCCTAAATCCATTTGCTCACACACATCAACAGACATTGCACACTTAACATTATACACACCACAGACATCTGCATACACACAGTGCTGTATACAGTGAAAATTAACCTTATGATTATTTACAATTTATATACCAGATTCCATTGAATGCAGTTAATATGGACAATTTCAATTTCATTCAATTTTAAATAATTACTCATTGTTCGTGGTTAGTCATTTTAATCATTACGCTGTAACCATAATATAAATAATACAGTAGCTATATATCAACAGAAGATAGCAACTATTTAAAAAAAAAACGTGCACGTACAAAACACGCGAAGATAAATACGTAAAAAAAATACCTGCATTGCAAACACTGCAATCGTTAACGACTGATGGAATGTGCGCGCAGCCTACCTGCATCGTCATTCTGCCTACTCGCACAAGCACTGAGGCCCACTTGCTAACTGCAATACGGTTTCGCTCCGACTCAAGGTCACTTCTACTGCTACCCGCACGCGCAAGAGAGCGAGGATCCTCCTCTGCATCACCTGATCCGTGTGCTGCGCAAACGCATCGGCAGCACCCCCCCCCCCCAACCTTGCCAGCAACCCGCTCCGTACCGCAGGGCTGTCGCCATGGATACCCCATCGCCATGGCTGCGAGGCTACCATGGTGACAAGGCGGAGGGGGAGCAGGGTCCAGGGGGTGGAAGGGGAGGGAGGGGGGGGGGTGCTCACGCCTGATTGGCTTAGCTGTAGCGGTCCATTTATTCACCCCATTTCCTTTTCATTTCGCGGAGGCGGACGAATGAAGATAGCCACGTACACAAGCAACTGAAGACTTCAATTCAGATGACGTTGAGCAGCTGGGTGCATATGCTGCGGGCCAAGAGCGCAGCAGAAGCTCATTGGAACGCTGGCCTTTTTGCCCATTTGCTGACCCATGATAATTGACAGATATATTGTAATTGCGCGATCCCTTCAGGTGTAATTTTACATTTTAATGCTGAAACCAAAAAATGATTCCAAAGTGACGAATTCCTTGTGACAAAAAAATAACCATTAAGACTAGAGCTGGAACGATCAGTCGATTAAGTTGATTTATCGATTGAATGTTCGAAGCTTCTACATTTTGCGGTCAATGACTTTTAAAAATAAAGTCTGCCATCACCTCCTGCCTCCCGAAGGGAGGAAACCCCCTCAAACCTTGCCCACTGTGATGCGGCTGACGATGTCGATTATGTCACCAAGCCCCACCTATCACCTCCCGTCCAGTGGCACACTTGGGCACAGAAGTGAGCCTTTTTAAAATTCCAACTATTTCCATATAATCCGACTATTTGAGCACTCAAACTCATATTCCGTTGAGTAATTGAAAACAGTACAAATAATCATTTCTAAAAAGCGCAGGCACAATATTGTATCACCTGAATACTAATATTTTTTAACAGCATATAAATATACTTGGTTCTTTCGGTAAAGTCAAGTAGAAGGGAAACAATAAAATAATACAAATATAAAACAATACAATTCTCTACGTGACTTTAGTGAGAATTTTATTGTTTTGTATTTTTATTATTTTATTGTTTCCCTTCTACGTGACTTTACCGAAAGAACCAAGAATATGAATCCCTGCAGTCACGAAAGCTTTAAATCAAAAGCATATAAATACAAAAGCATCTCCATATGCTATATGTAAGAATACCCAGCAAAGTCCTAATCAGATAATGGAACTTAAATACTGTTATTCTGTGATGCGGTCCCATATTTTTAATGGATGTGCAAATAATTATTTGCTTTGTTACATTTTAAAATTACATTCGATGCAAATGCCGTAGATCTAACAATTAACTGCGTCTAATCACTAAAAAAATACACATTATCAGCTTGCAAAGGTTCATTTTTGGGATGACATTCTGCCAAGTAATAGAAATGCAAAGCATATCAATTTGAATGCATCTTCGTATCGGGATGGAAAACACAACTTTATCTGAGTGCCACAAAATAATGCCAGCAGGCATCTAGAATGTAAGTTTGAATAAAGAACAATATTGTACCTCTTTAAACGACACAATTGGAAGGTTGCAGGTTATTTCTTTTTCTCTCTGTGTATTTTTCTCAATGTTATAAAAATTACACTCTCGGCATCATGTCATGCTCACATGGCAGGGCATCATTCATATGTTAAATACTAGCCCGTAGAAGATGATGTCACAGAACAGGTCCCATATTGTAGCTGCTCACCCGAGCGAAAAATGCCCTGATAGTGCATTGTCTTTGTGCTGTTCTTCCTTTTGGCGTCCCTCTGGTCTAACACCGTTTGAGACTAGGCTCTCTTGTGTGGACCAATCAGTTTCAAAGGCAATGCATATATTATCAGATAATGTTTTTGTTTTCATGTTGACAAGTACGTGTGGTGTTTTAACATCTTGACACCTGTTTTATTGCCAGAAAGGGTTAAACCTATTGTTATATCGCAATACTGGCAAGAAAGGTCCCATGTTATGTCATCCAATTACCCATGTTATGTCATCCAATTACCTGTGCAAATTATTCCTCTTGCCCATTGGCGGAGTTTCACTTCCGTATTTGGTGGAGGGGGGGGGGGGGCAGGGGTTTGTTTTGTCCCTCACATTAGGAATCTCTGGTGGAAATCCTTTATTATTTTTAAATCTTAATGGTAAACTCTTGAAAATAAGTTAATAAATTTGCCCCGTTTGGGAGGGGCTTTGCCCCCCCCCCGTGCCCGCCCCCCCAAACTCCGCCCGTGCTCTTAACCGACCATAAAGATCATGGATATTTATGGTGGGATGCCACGGTGGCAAGATGTTGACTACTTCGCCTGGTATATGGGAGGTCATTGGTTCGATCCCGACCCTGACGCCTGCATAGTTCGTATGTGTCACTCAGCGATGAGTGCTTCCACTCGTACGATATACTTTTAAGGATACACAAAAAAGAGAAAAAAAGAGAAAATAGTAGAATATTCACCAAGTAGATTTTTCTTAAGGATACATGAAAAAAGAGAAAATAGTAGAATACTCACCTAGTAGATGACAATGCTGTGCCTGCTCTACTTTAATATCACCTGGTCATCAGGCTTTCTAATCAGGTGTTTAGATTTGACATGTATTTGGCTAGAGGACATGACCTTCCACAGCAAGTGGAAGCATGGAATGCCCCCGGGCTCTGTAAGACTTCAACAGCAAAATGCTTTTCCAAGCGAGCCTTTTGTGCCACCTAAAGAGGCTTTCCCGTTGTATCACGCACCGGGGAGCTGCAATAATTATAACTGCAGCACTATCTATGTTGGGAGTGAAAGACATTTTCCCGGACATTGTAAAACGGGGGAAAAAAAAACCACAAATATACCAGGGCCACTTTGTGCATTGCAAGGACACAGAAAGTCAGATAGGCGGGTGCTGATTTGCATTACAGGTCGACCCGAAGGAAAGCACCTAATGGTAGCGAAGGAGCGAGGGTTTTGACAATGAACAACTGCATATAGGCAGGCAGCAGCTAGACCAAGACCCAATTACCTGCGATTCTTGGCGGATGGTATGCACACGTACAACAGACGCTATTCATGGGCAAACCAGAAGGTGAGCGTTCATCAACGTGCAGGTATAAACACGGAACCAAGCAAGTGCGTGTATGTTATCTCCCTCGCCTGGTACGCAGGAGATCGTGGGTTTGATCCCGACCCTGATGCCTGTATATTTGGAGTTGGCATGTTCTCTCTCTCTATTTCCATGGTCACATGGATTTTTCTCCAGGCCCTCCGGTTTTGCCTTCCACATTTAGAAACGTGCTTTTAGATGAGTTTGTTACTATAAATACCCACACATCATGATACGCCACGAGACTGAGCTTACGTGTGGTCTAGTCGCCTCTGGACAAGATCTAACAGCTCAGTGGGGTTTACCCGGGAAATAAAAGTTTAGTTTAATGCAAGCCAGTTTGGGCAGGTGCACGTGTACATCGGTGTGTGCAACGATTACTTGTTTCAGCACGTACTCGCTCACGTGTGCCATTGCGTGCTTGCGAATCCACGTGCCAGTTCACTGGAATATGTTCAGTAACAGTGCCTTTCTGGCGCTTTCAGTTATAGCCAATGGTCAAGGCCATGTGATTGTTGACGTACAGACTGTCGAACCTTAGCCGGTCGAGGTCACAGATTAAACAAATGGCAAGATCCGGGGCTCCTCTGGGGAGACAGTTGCTGTCCCCGGCACATTTTTCGCCCAACTCTATAGCGAACTCCATTAACTGAGATCTCAACGGAGGAATTTAAAATGAATACTCTTCTTCATTAAACCACTTGTAAATGTTATTAATCTTCTAATTATAATTTAAAAAATGTCCTGGTATGGTCTCACAAATACAACTATTTGTTTAAATGATAGCAACCCATTTATTATTTTAAAGGTGTAATTATGAAGATAAATGTTTCAAATGTGATTTTGAGAAATTGTGCTTGCCAACTAATGACATTGTGATCGGCGATTAATAATTTACAACTCTTTGTCAATCCACTGCGGGATAAATGCCTCATCGCGATGTGTCAGTCATGGGCGTTAGTTAGCCATACTTCACCAAGCTGGCAAGGGATCTCTGGTGAGGGGAGATGTTGGGGCATTCACTCCACAGTGATGTTAGCTGTGCTCCTAAAATAAAAGTGAGGTTGCCGGGTTTATAATGCAGTGCATTAACCACTGCGCCACCGCTTAACCCAATGTCTTTACAGACGGTTCCAACGTATGTTTGTGCGTATGTTGAACTTCTTGCGTACCGCACGTAGCCAATCGTGCAAATCGGGCGTCAAGTATGACTGTGCACTGTGTTCACAGCTGTAACTAACCTGAGAGTGTCCTGTCCTCGGGCCCCAAGCTGCAAGAGCTCACGAGCAGCTGTGCAGGGGATGGCGCACCTTCCCTCTCCTCCAGGGCGTGCCAAGCAGAGTTCTTCGTTGTCCCTGTCACCGAGGCCACCACGCTTTGCCCAGCAGCATTCATTTCCAAACACAGGTCCTCTTTCGCCAAGTGTGCGGCTAAACCCAGCGCCGGGCTCACCGCATCCTTCTCCCCGGTGGCTTCTGGGTCTGCCTCGTGAATTGCATCCGCGAATTTCGTCGGTTTGGCATCGAAAGAATGTATCGTTTGTGCAGAAACAGAGGACGCTTCAGATGTGCTGATGTCCTTACATTCAGAGGCCTGCTTTATCTCCACCTTGCTTACATCAGCAGCTTGTGCAGCCATGAAACTTGTTTTTTCCAATCTTGACATGTTTAGACCTGCAGTCTGGTGCGCTACATCTATCTTGATAATATTTTTGGCTTCATTACCGGCTTTTGCTGCTGAACAAGTATCATCATGAATATTGAATGATGTATTCTCATGTTTCTTTTTAATGTCTTTAACTTGTGC